GCATTCGACTCGGTGCCTCATACATGGCTTAAGAGGGTCCTCGAGCTGTACAAGGTTGACTGTACAGTTCGAGACTTCCTCGGGCAGTGTATGGGGCAGTGGAGTACGATCCTTTGTCATCAAGGCGAGCGGATGACGGCTGCGGAGAACCACATAAGGATAAGAAGGGGTATCTTCCAGGGCGATTGTTTGAGTCCAATCTGGTTCTGCCTCTCTCTGAACCCTCTCAGTACCTTACTGGAGGGCTCCGGGAGGGGATTTCAGCTTCGGAGAGGAGGTACAAAAGTGACCCACCTTTTCTATATGGATGATCTCAAATTATTCGCCTCCAGTCGCTCTCATCTTATGGAATTGCTAAACATCACTTGTGATTTTAGCAATTCTAATAGAATGGAGCTGGGGACGGATAAGTGTGCGATCCTCCATGTCGAAAGGGGAAGGGTTGCTAACTCTGAGGGCATAAACTTATCTATGCCCATCAGCATAAGGACCCTTTCCGAGGCTGAAACATACCGATACCTGGGTATGTCACAGAACATCGGTGTAGATGAGTCGGATATGAAACGGTCAGTTTGCGATGTGTTTTATGCACGCTTGACCAAAGTGCTTAACAGCCTTTTGTCCGGTGTGAATAAGACGCACGCATATAACGGTTGGATCATGCCTGTTCTCATGTATACCTTTGGCATACTCAAGTGGACTCAGACCGAACTGAACGCTCTGGACAGAAAAGTCCGCACTATAATGACGTCCCACAGGATGCATCATCCGAGATCGTCAGTAATGAGGCTGTACTTGCCGCGGAAGCATGGTGGGCGCGGCTTTCTAAGCGCGCTTATCATGCATAATCGCGAAGTGTGCAGCCTCCGTAATTACTTTCTGACAAGAGCGGATGATCCATACTATAGGGACGTTATTTCTTGTGATAAAGGGCTAACCCCTCTATCCTTAGCCAACGAGCAATGGCAAGACCCGGCAGTACAGAGCATTTCCGACCGGGAGACCGTATGGAAGGAGAAGGAGCTCCACGGGAGGTTCTACAAGGCCCTTCATGAGCCTTTCGTAGACACAGTCGCCTCCCTCCACTGGCTACGTTTCAGTGACCTCTTTGGGGAAACTGAGGGTTTTGTCTGTGCAATACAGGATCAGGTTATTAAGACCAACAATTATCGGAGATACATCCTAAAGGATGGCACCGTCGACATCTGTCGAGCTTGTCGCCATCCCGGTGAGTCACTTAGGCATGTCATCTCCGGTTGTTCGGCGCTTTCTAACTCTGAGTATTTGCACAGACACAACCTAGTAGCCAGCATTCTACACCAGGAGCTCGCTCTGAAATACGGTCTCGTGGATCGGAAACTGCCATATTATAAGTACTTGCCGGAAGCCGTGCTCGAAAATGACCGTGCCAGGCTCTACTGGGACCGGGCCATCATCACAGACAGGACTATTCTTGCGAATAAGCCTGATATTGTGCTGATGGACCGGGCACAGTCAAGGATATTTTTGGTCGACATTACCATTCCTTATGACGAGAACCTCGTGAAAGCCGAAACAGATAAGCTGACAAAATATCTGGACCTGGCTCACGAGGTGACCGACATGTGGGGTGGTCTGCCGGCCGAAATTATTCCTGTGGTCGTTTCTGCGAACGGGTTAATCCCAGTTAGCCTCTCGGGTCATCTGAGGCGACTGGGACTCCGTGACGGACCGCTCCAAGCTCAAATGCAGAAGGCGGTGCTCCTCGATACCGCCCGCATCGTCCGCCGATTTCTTTCCCTTTCCCCCTAACCCTCGGCCGTTTGGTCTCCCCTGCCGAGGGCTTCCATCTGGTTGGGTTTTTTATATATTTATGTATTTTTTATGTATTTATTCTATTTTATTGATATTTATGTATGTTTATATATTTCGTTTACAATTATATATTTAAACAGCCCAACCAGATGAGAAAACTTTATAGATAATAATAATAATAATAATAATAATATTTATTGGCACAAAATAAGGTTTACATTATTTATCCTTAAGACATTTGAACATATGATATAAGTTATAACTTATCTATATAATTTTATGCACTAGCGTCTAAACTAGGCCGAGCCTGTATCTTAGACACTAGTCTCTTCCAATAACACCATTATTTGCAGTTATAAAAGTATACGGCATATTATGATTTACTCAATCTATTACGTACAAATTCGCAAATACATTAGGTACCACTTTTTTTGCGTTTACCGTCACACTAACTTATTATGCGCATGAAAGGTTAGACTACTATTTATAGGAACTTTATCAATTTCTTAATTTAAAATGCAATATATGATTATGTTGTCAGGAGGCAAGTGTATAACTTTAGCAATTCTACAGGTATTTAACAAAAGTTATGCAATGTGCAGTGAATAGACATACACATATTATATAATTATTTAATTCATGGTTTTTGCAAAGGTTTTTTATTTTTGTTTTAAATTATACATTCACTTAGTTAAATATAGTATTATTAGTAGCTATATAAGTGAAATATTCTTTAATTATTATAATTAGAGTAGTTTTAGTAGATATATATTATTTTGATGTAATATTATCTTAAATTGACCAAGAAATTTTCAGTTTCTTATGTATTTAGAGTTTTTAACCAAGATAATAGTAGTTTTTTACATTGATATTTGTTAAGCGGGTAAATTTGTAGAATTTTATTTATTTTAGTGTAAAGCATAGGACCTAAGTAGCATTGAAATTTAGTTATAAAATATGTTTTAAAATGGCCGGTAGGACAAACCTTATCTTTCCGGCGATTGATTGTTAATTCGTGATTATATGTAAGTTTTTCATGTTGGAATATAACAGCGTCTTTAATATATAATTGTCTAACTGTCAATACGTCACATTCTGAATATAGTTTGTCTGTAGAATAGCTAAATGGTTTAAATGTCATTACTTTGAGTTTATACGTCCATGACTTTGAGTAATATACGCTGCGCTCTTTCTAATATTATGAGATGAGTTTTACGAGCTCCACCCCATAAGGTAATACAGTAAGTCAAGATAGACTGTGCCAATGATAAGTCATTGAGATATAATGTACTACGTACTAGAGAAGCTATTCCGAACAAAAACTGTGCACTACTCTATGTCTTCGCGCATGCGCGGTAAATAGTACAGTCGCGCATGCGCGGTTTTTGTCATCATAGATTATATACGTAGGTAGAATGATCAGTATGTAATAAGTAAATGTTTATTTAGATTGTATTGTAAATTATATCGAGTACAATTTTTTAAATTGTTATTTATATTGCATAATGTGTTAATATAATGTAACATAATATTATGTCAGAATTACATTTTAATTATATTTTATTTAATACTTTAAAAGGTAAATATGTAGAATAATAGTGTAAAATCAATGCGAATTTACGTAAAGGTGCATGCAGTGTATAATTAATAATGCGTGCTCTGTTTATTCTTTTTCGTTAAAGATTTATGTTACTCCATAACTTCTGCTTTACCCATTAAATCAATCTCAGCATTTAAGTTGAGACCGAATTTATGTTTCAAATTTTCTACAATTGATTTGTAAGAAGCACATTTTTTCTTTAGATAAATATTTTGTCTTAAATTTCTCAGTAAGTTTCTTTCTAGCTGCAGATTCCTTGCTATTAAATACAAACACAATATTACGACGTGCTTATATTTTATTCTTTTTATAATAACCTAGAATTATTGATTCCGTTATTAAGGTAGAACTATATTTAAAAGCTTATGCTTCGCATACATCACTCAAACTTAGCTTAGGAGACATCACTTGCGTAATTTATTTTTAAGTAGAATTTTGCTCGGACTATCTAAAATTGAATTTGTATTGCTTATTGATTCAGACAACGGTTCTGGTAGTTCCTGTTCATCACATTTTGTTGGCTGAAAAAAGATACTAGTTATTTGGGAAGCCTGCAAAAATTCTAGTGTTACAGTATTAATAGTAGGTTTCCGCCTCTCTTAAGTCCCGTAAATATACTGAATATTAAAAAACATTCGTTCGTGGTCTAATCAAAAAATAAAACAAAAATCCCAGCAATGTTATATAATTACATTGTCGCATGTTACTGCTTATTTCTTGAAGTAAACTCTTTCTGTTTTTGCAGTGTATTTATCATTTTTTTGAACTGCACGGAAAATATGCGTGAATAATCTGACGTTTCTTCGCTGCAATTCTTCTGAACAAATTTGATCCATGATTATTTTGTTTCATGACACAGCCGAGGAAACCATTAAATAAAAATAATAATAAAAAATATTAATTTTAATGCATTAACATTTCCTACAGTGATTATATATAAATATTTTACTGTTCATAATTACTTAACATTATACGTCGATAGTGTCAAGTCTGCGCATAAAAATGTTTTACTCTTTGACATTCATGTATACGTTGCAGTTGATAAAATATAATTAAATTAAGTGTGTTTTAAAGATAATAATAAGTTTAAATTACTGGTGAAAATTCACTCCTTGACTTTTTCTTATATTTCTCGAGTAGTTTGAACAGTATCTCAATGCACACGAAGGCATATTAATTTAAAAATAATTCTTCACTAACTTCTCACGTTACAACAACCGCTTGACACAGACTAAGTGAGTTTGAGAGCGCGCACTCTAACGCGTGTTACAAACAATCGAGTTGAGGCGTCTTCTCTAGTACGTAGTACATTATATCTCAATGTGATAAGTAAACAGTCTTCAGTAAAGAATAGTCTGTCACGTGTCTTAGTTTTTTGAATATGTATACCAATATTCTTGTTTTCCCTGCTAACTGATTGATATGAGGGCACCATGTCAGATTTTCATCCAACACTACGCCTAAATATTTTACTGTGTCACTTCGGTCTAAAGATGTGCAATTGCATTGAATTGAGCTTTTGTTTTTGCAGGTGTGTATTTTGATTTTAAATGTATTTTCAGTAGTAAGTGCAAATAAATAATAAGTGCTGATAAATCAGACTAACACATCCAACATGCAATCCATGAGATCAGTGTTTATAGACAGACGATTTGCACGCAGAATTAGTCTCAGACGCGATTTGGGCAATGTTCCTAGCCCTGTTTCATCTGCATGCAACAAACCTTCGCGAAGTCTTTCGCGATCGTCCCACAGCCCTCGTGTCAACTCCGTAAACACCAGGGACCTGATGAAATAAGTTGTTTTTAAAATCAAGACATGATTTACACACACACACACACACACACACACACACACACACACACACACACACACACACACACACGCACGCACGCACACATACACACACGCACACACGCACGCGCGCGCGCACGCACACACACACACACACACACACACATGACGTCTGATAGGAAACGAGGTGCCATTTCCCCAAGCGGCAGCTAACCATGCTACGACACTGCCGACGAGGTTCTGACCACTGATTAATGGTGGAAAATCAATCCAAATTTTTTACAATCAAATTTCAAAGACTAGTTGATGGGGAGCCAAAAGAGGGATATTATCGCGGTACAGCCACGCTGTAGCTATATTATGGTATGCAGCACCAATGCGTGGATTCGACCGGGAAAAACCATTCACGGAATACCAGCGTAAAAAACAGCTCTATGTTAAGCGTTTATACTGAGAACGAGGTATATTCCATCTTAGTCCTGTGGTGATAACGATTCTGCATTTCGATTCTTAATTGAAAATAGATGTAGGTGTTTATAGGCCACAGCATTCACTTACCATCAGGTGGACTGTGAAGTCCGCCGACGCGCATTGGAGCAGCGCAGGCGACAAATTGCACCACCATAAAGAAAGCTCTCAGAAATGAAAGAGGCTCAGTGACCAGCAGCGGGGCGTATTATAGGCTGTAACTTTACTTTCGTAGTTATAATGGATAATTTATTCAAAAGTAAAGTAAAGTTGCAGTCTATTTTACGTCCCACTGCTGGGCACAGGCCTCCTCTCATTTCTGAGAGGGTTTTTAGGGCAAGGAAATGTCTGCCGCGGTGCCTGAATGCGTGTTGGCGAACTTCACATGTCTTTAAAATATTATTTTTCTTTATTTCTCAGACATGCAGGTATCCTCACGACGTTTTCCTTCACCGCCGAGCACTTGGTAAATCAGCACTTAAAATTGCAATTAACAATTTCATTGGTGCCGGCGGGGATCGAACCCGGGTTGCTCACTTACTGTGAAGCTTACAGCGAGCGCTAATCATCTGAGCTACTACGGCTCTTTGTTTTTTATTCAAATAAACTTAAATTGCATCCGTTGGTTTATTATCGTCCAGTTTCTTCTTCAGTATCTAATTCTATGTAAAAATCATTAAGTAATAACATTTCATTAAATTCTGTTGAGTCTTTTTCACCTTATCATTTCTCGTCGTGGACTTTTGTCTTGTCCAGGATCACCTCGAAAGTGTCTTATAAGAGTTAAAAATTCATGTTCTGTCATCTTTTCACACATAATTTCTTTTAATGCCTGCCTGTAATAATTAAAAGAATCAATGAAACAAATCATTCACTATTGAAAATAAATTATATAATAGTTATAGACTGCAACATATAACGCAAAACGGTTAAAACGTGGACGTAGTATAACAATTGTTTTTACTTGAAGCATCGAACAGACATCAGTTCCTTTTTATCAGGTAGGACAGCTTCCATATATTTAGCAACAAAGTTCTTGTAGCCATTTTCTTGCGAAGCTAACGTCCGTCTTATCTTATCCATTATCAGGGCTACATTGGACATCGGATACTGGAAATAAATAAAATTGCTCATTACATCCATAAAATATGAGTCATATCAAAAGAAGAGAACATCCAATCCACACACACTATATTGAGAAATGTTATAAAGACTGTTTTACTTTCTGTTTCCTACCTTTTCTACCGACTCAAGAGGTACTTCGACTGTATGTTTTAGGTGTGTTACCTCATAACTTTTTTCTAAGTGAACCGATTTCTTTTTATTTAAAAACTGGTGCTTCTCATGTGATCTCATATAAATTAGATCAAGGTTTTTGAGTTTGACCAATAATTTTTGAGTTATCGTTAATAATATATATTGAAGTCGGTTGTACAAAATTTTTAATGTTAAATTATTTCACTTTCGGCTACACAATTGTTGAGTGTTATCTTGAATATAAAAAACAAGTTACTCATAAACTTACAGGGATTATAATATTCACTCGTAAATTTCCCGGAGAAATAAAGAAATTTTAATACAAGGCCACAAAGATGATTGGAGATTTAAAAAGAAATAGGTATTCAGTACCTCAACCGCAACAGAATTCAAAACAGTATATTATTATTATTTAACAACAAATCAGTGAAAAAAAAATTATTCTTAAGAAAGACTTGTCAGGCAAAAAGATTAACAAGACGAAGTAGGTAAGAGCGCTATAGAACTTTTTTTAATTTATTTCTAGTGTATTTAGAATAATCTATTTTTCTCTTCTTTTATCGAACCATAAAAGTCTGTCAGGAAGGATTTGCCTTAAAAGACAGTTTTGCCTTTTGACGCTACTGCCTGCCGCTTGGTTAATAATTAATATTTAATGTCTAAATATATATATATATAGTATTTAATCTCTAAAATAAACGAGAATGCTATGCAATATATCGGAAGCCATAAAATTTTCTCGCATTTTCCATAATCACCTCATACTTCTTATTTACACACTACCTATGGCGTATGCAAGATACGAGTAAATCTACTTTACCAAATAACAATCTAAACTACTCGTAGCATATTCTGTATGATAAGGCTCTGGCAATCGATAAATGCTTATATCTATTCGGAATGTTTTCTTGATAATGGTTAAAAAATACTGAAACCAAATCACACGAGTATTTTTCTTGCACACTAACCCACCCGCCCACCGTGGCAAGCACATTCTTCAGGAGAAATTTAATATTAACGCGGAATTTTAGAAGCACTTTAAAAAAGAAAAAAAAGAACCTCGTCCGCATGAAGTTCCATGTACCGCAAGGCGTATTCATCAGCAGCAATAAGACGAAACCGATGTTTGTTGATGACCAGCTCATTCCCAATCCACATATCTTTGTCTGTGTATGTCGGAGGCTCTTTAGATACGAAAAAGTCCACGTCTGGTAAATACGTTTTCTCACGACGAAAAAATGTGCCACCCTGAAAGTAGCCAGCATTAAATTAATATAAATTACAAAACACACAGACGATACTTATAAAAAATATACAAGTTATAGACAATTAAAATAATTCATATAAATAAAATTAGTGATATTATAATAGCCTTATAAACTCTACCAGTCAATTTACATTTAGGGTAGTAATTTTGCTTTTTTATTCAGAGTACAAACTGAAATAGCGTCAATAACCTTCATCTATGCACAATACCGGAAGCATACGACAATATTTCATTCGGGCATAGTATGGAAACAAAGTAGTAACAACAAACCGTAAATCCGGAATTTCTCTCCCCCAACTCAAACACACCGATAGTGTCATCACAAAGAAAATATTTTACAACAAAGTATCTTCGAGCATCTTCGGGATTGTCATTGATAAGGCGCGCAGCAAAGCGTAATATGTGTGAATCAAAGCCAACTCTGAAAATATTTTGTTTAATTTATTTTTAAAAAAAAACTTTATCTTGCGGGTTGGTAAATTTACTAGTAGTATAAACTTCGACCATCGCTTTACTTTGTTATTTTTACTTTATTATTTTGACGGGTTTACTGAAACACTAAATATGTGTGAACAGAAACGGATGGCATCATATTCGTGTTCAGTTTCCTGATTCCATTATTGTTTACGTAGATTCTATCTGGATGTATATACAGATGGTCCAAGAATTTAATAACATTAGATATTGAATTTATGAATACCTAGTGAAAACAATATTGGATAAAATATACAGACCTATTGCAATATAGGATGAGAATCTTATAGATAAGTTACTATGGAAGATATTATGAATAGCCGCTAAATGAAGAATTTTGAAATTGACTTACTCCATGATTGATCGAAAGTTGGAGAGGACAAGAATTATTTCTCAATAATTTAGTAAAACGAATAAATAAATTAATAAAGCAGAAGATGGGGAGCAGCATCTCCCTAAGAACGACTAAAAATAAAAACATCTATGGGGATGTTCGTCCTGTGAACGGTAACGGTAAATCAGTATTGATATCATTATCATATAGTACATGTATCCAGACCTAAACAATTCAAAACGGAAAGAAGCCACTGCGGTGTTTAAGTGTGTTTCAGAAAACTGTACAGTTTCTCAAAATTAATTTCTTAGTTTGTAGATTTTTTTATAGGATAGGGTGACAAACAAGCACATAGTCTAACTAGAGCACATAGTCTAACTGGTTGCTGTGACTGTGACCCATAGACATCCACATCTATCCTCAATAAAGAAACAAAATGCAGATGCGTTGTCACCCGTAAGGACTAAGCTGGAATGCCTCTTTTCCAGAAAAAGGGTCTCCGGTTCTCTACACTCACCATACGAAACACAGCAGTGTTAAGCTGCTATTTTACGCTGGTATTCTGTGAGAGCGTGGTCCTTCCCCAGTCGAGCTGACTCATTCGTGCTACAGCTATACTACTAATATAGCTGCAGCATGGCTCTACCACGTAAAAAAGATTTCCAACAATGTTTTCCTTCACCACTAAGTAAGTACTAGTCAATTAATAAAATTTCTATTGACTACTCCGATAGTCCCAGCAGTGAAAATTTCACAGCTCAGTATCATCATTCATTTGTTTGGCTGATGTAATTCTGATTACTAGTTGTATAGCTTACAAATCCAGACCCGAAAATTTGGGTTTGGGTTTTCTTGCATCCATGATACGGGGGAAATTCCTAGTGCTTTTAATAATTGCCAGTTTTACGTTTTATTGAAACATGTCCGTAAGCTAATATGACTATTAAAAATATCGTACAAGAATTCCAATATATAAGGAATAAATACCTGCACCCGCACCTGTACCTGCACTAATTGACAGCAGAAAATCCTATCAAAGCATATATAACACTAAATTATACTAAAGGTTAATTTCACAAGCAAATAATGCATGACATATTCTTAGTAACACCCATGTTCAGCTGAGGGCTTCAGAATGCTGTAGATGATTATATAATTTATTTTTTATATATAATGTGTAATATCGCAGCAGTTTAGTAAATTATTTCCGTAATTACCTATCTTTATGTATAAATTTCATAAAGTCACGATGCGGTGCCTTTGGCTCCACAGTTTTGCAGTTTTCCGCGGAATCGTCATATGATCCATAACCATTCCAAGGAGGCAGTTCTCGCTCAGCCATATTCTCGCGAAAGCACTCTGTGTTTTTGTCTACAGGTACTTCCAGCGGTGCAAAGTTGTCTAGAAATACCAAATTTGGAATGAGTTATATTGTTCTCTGTTTAAATAACATAATAAAACGAACAAACTAAAAAATATTTTGATGAGAACAACAATCTAGCCGCCGTGGCGGTCGCACTACTAGACTTTTCATACTTTTGTCCTCCCACTAGATAATCTCGCATATTATACAACGTGTAACAAAACCCCTGTGGTTCCCTTTAAGTGTGTTATCAGAGTCAGTATTCAAACGTAAAGACGTAACATCTTTTTTTTCCAAAAAACTTGAACATTAAAAAACTTAATTTTAATTTAAAAAAATAATTTGCAAATTGTACATGGATTAGAATAGCTCTCCAGCACCTTAAAAATGGCAAGTCCCCGGGCGAGGATGGAATTACAGCGGAGCTTCTGAAAGCGGGTGGAAAACCGGTACTTGAAGTCCTTCAGAAGCTCTTTAATTCCATCTTCCATGGTGGTACTATTCCGGAGGCGTGGAGCAGAAGTGGTCTTGTTCTTCAAGAATGGCGATAACGCTCTCTTGAAGAACTACAGAACGATTTCCCTTCTGAGCCGCGTCTACGTGCTGTTTTCGAGAGTCATTACGAATCGTCTAGCACGCAGACTCGACGACTTCCAGCTTCCCGAACAAGCCGGTTTCCGAAAAGGCTTTAGTACCATAGACCACATACACTCCCTTTGGCAAATTGTACAGAAGACAGAAGAGTACAATCTGCCACTCTGCCTTGCGTATGTGGACTGTGAGAAAGCCTTTGATTCCGTCGAAATTCGGGCGGTGCTACAGTCCCTTCAGAAGTGCCAAGTTGACTATCGGTATATCGAGGTGCTGACGTGTTTGTACAGTTGGGCTACGATGGCTATCCGAGTACAGAACCAGAGTACGAAACCTAACCAATTGCAGAGAGGTGTAAAACATGGTGACGTTATGTCCCCGAAACTCTTCTACGGTATTAATATCAATGGCGAGTACATCACTCACCTTCGATTTTCCGACGATATAGTCCTTATGGCAGAATCGCTGGAGGACCTAAGCACTATGCTCAATGACCTCAATAGTGTCTCCCAACGGATAGGTCTTAAGATGAACAAGTACAAAACAAAGATCGTGTGTCATGTCCATGTCACACCTATGCCGGTAGTTGTTGGGAGCACTAAGCTCGAAGTTATTGACGAGTATGTTTACCTAGCACAAATAGTCCGACTAGGTAAGTCCAACTTCGACAGCGTTCGGGAAATTACGGCACATCTTCTCGTCGGGTATACATCAAAACTTGAAAACGAGACTATACAACCAGTGCGTGTTGCCAGTGATGACCTATGGAACTGAGACGTGGTCCTTCACTGCTGGCCGAATGAGGAAGTTCGAGGTTGCTCAGCGAGCTATGGAGAGGGCCATGCTCGGAGTTTCTCTGCGTGATAAACTTAGAAATGAGGATATCCGCAGTAGAACCAGAGTGACCGACATAGCCCAACGGATTAGTAAGCTGAAGTGGCAATGGGCTGGCCATATAGCTTGAAGAACTCACAACCGATGGGAAAGAAAGGCTCTCGAGTGGCGGCCTCGTACCGGCGGACGAAGTGTAGGGCGTTCCCCTACTAGATGGGGTGATGACCTGGTAAGACATGCAGGAAGTCGATGGATGCAGGTGGCTCAGAACCGTGTTTTGTGGCATTCCTTCGGGGAGGCCTATGTTCAGCAATGGACTTGTGAAGGGCTGTAATGATGATGATGATGATATGGTTTTATTACCTCTAACTAACACGAGCATCGGTGAAGGGGGTCTTTCACAATCCTCTTATTCTCCGGATAATGCAGAGTTAATAAAACCACATACAATCGCAGATTATTTTTTTTTATTAAAATATTTTTTAATGTTCAAGTTTTTTGAAGAAAAGTTATTTCTTTAAGTTTGAATACTGACTCTGATAAAGCACTTAACAGGAACCACAGGGTTTTTGTTACATGGTGTATGACGTAAATAGTCTATCTGCACATATGCATACGTACCAAATCCATAAGTTACACGATAGTATTCCTTAGTAAATGGATCACAGTCGGTAAGAACTACTTTACGTCCAAATACGTTGATCACAGCCCCAATACTAAGATCAGCCGGAGTGTAGGATTGTGTTTGAGGGCCGCCAGTCATCTCTACATGTGGTGGAACTTTCTAAAACATTTTTACAATAATTTATATGTTATAAATAGTACCTACAGACAGTGACTGTTCTTCATTCGTTGAAATATTAAGATTTATAGCATTACAATGTAATGGATTCACAGGTTCTTCACATTCGTCATAATTTTTTTCGCATAATAACATTAGGGCAATTTACCTTTCAGTAATAATATATTTCTTATCAAAAGCGATAGATAGAACAAGTGTTCTTGAAAGAAGTAAGATTTTTTTTAAATTAACTCAAGAAAGTATACGAACCCTTGGCAAACGCATCCTCTTTAAAAACATTGGACCAGCCTCGATGCCAGAATTTGGTGGAAGTATTTCTTTTATTTCCATTGTATCATCAGCAAGGAAATAATGTATCTCTAGATGATGCACTGTACCAAATTCCGTATCTCGATCATCCCAATATCCAAAGAATCTAAGAAAACACATAATGTCTCTAGTTTTAACAAGACTTTTTTCAGAGTAAAATATACATTACGTATTAAAATCTTACCGCAAAACCTGTCTATCGTAATCCAAAAACTGTCTAAATGGTTTGGGTTTTGGTTTTTTACCAGATTTATGGATTCTCTGTAAAATAATGTACACTAAAATTATAAATCTATGAAGGGATGTTGGCAAAATTAATTATTAGATACTTACGTCGACTGTATCAGGCCATGGAATGGGATCTGGCACATTTATTCCGAGGCGGTTTAAAAATACTCTTGTGAAATTGTCGCAATTAACAATCTAAAAAATTAAATTATAAATATTATTTAGTAATATTTAACCTTACAACACCTGGTACTGTAATTATTTATATAAACACATACCTTAAATACTTTCCCGTAAAACATGACTTCCTTACCAATATTAAGATCAAGAACATCGTAGTACAAATCATAGCTCTGAGGAAGTCTTATTCTTTGACGACTAATCAATGTTCCTATAAAATAAATGATTATTATTAATACTTTATACCTGTAAGTTCCTTAAAAACATATTTAGTCATTGGGAAACTCAAATATCTAATTCAATTTATTTCTCAAACGCGAAATAGGTACATTATGATGATTATGATTGGAACACGAAAAAATATCCGAATATTTTGGAAATTAAATGTTAGTGCCACAAGTGAATGGAGTACATACTACGGTTACGGTACGGGTTCCTTGTTTTAGCTTATCCTTAACCAAAGTACACCTTCTAATATAATTTAAAATTAAAAATTTTGTACAGCCGACTTCAATATAAGTTATTAAGAATAACTCAAAAACTATTGGCCTGACCTTGATCAAATTACCCCACGAGAAGCACCAGCTTCCAAATAAAAAAAGAATCATCGAAATCGGTTCACCCAGTAAAAAGTTATGAGGTAACACTCATAAAAAAAAACATACAGTCGAATTGAGTACCGTCTCCTTTTTGGAAGTCGGCAGATAAAAAAGGAGCCATTCACAATACGTCAGACTTGAATATCAATAATTTGTGTATTGGCTCAAAACCAAATTATTTATATTCAAGAGTTGTTTTTATAAAGTACTTTTCGCTACCCCATCGCTTCAGAAAGTACTTATTGTAGAAGATCTTGTTAGACGAAGCGACAAAGAACTCACAAAGACTATTTTTCTCCCAGGACTTACAATTTCGTTATATATATATATATATCAGAAAAATAGGTACGAAATAAAAAGAGAAATAGAAATGAGGTTAAATCTCATAACCTTCCACTCGTTAAAATAGTATAAAGTTTACCGCAGGTGACGCGCCGAGAGATTCTGCTGCATTCTACGAGTCATATAATCAGTGCCATTCATTTTGTCTGTGGTGGTATTTTTTTTAGTACGCGCAATAAAACGCGTGTAGAAGAGGCTGCCATGTCACATCGAGATGAGCAGTGTTACTGCAGATTTGCATACTTAATCTATTTGGGTGTTATCATATAATTACGCCCATCATATTACACTAATGTGTGAATATGATACGATATGACGGAACTGTATCTGCTCTATAAAAGTACTGATTGTATAAAACGCTATGCTGTTTATTGTTGATAATTACGCTATTCATGCAATCGAATAGCTATTCATGAGCAAGTGAATCATCATCCGCTCTCCCTCTTTTATTATTTTTAATAACAATCTTTTATGTTATGTTTCCCACATAGGTACTAAGACGTTTTTAAATTAGTCTTTTTTAATACGTCTTTGCATAGGTAGGGGTAAGTAAAACAAGTGTACGGAAGCTCATTAATATGTTTACGCAATCTTGTCTTTTAAATTATCATCTAATTTATAATATATTTTCTTTATAAGAGTGTTTTATGTGCACTTTAAATTTATGCAAAGGCAAATCAATAATGTTACAGATAGTTCTGTTAAAAATAGTTATACATCAAGCCAAAAATGAGCCACTTGTTTTTTGAATCCTGTACTATAGAAGAAGTAAGTTTAGGTTTAGTTTAAGACGCATGTTAAATGTATGGACATCAAGTTTCTTACATAAATAAATACTATTATACACTATAATAAAAATATCTCATCTAAATACAAACCTAAATGGTTATCGAATTATGGACTATGTAAACGTAACTATCAAGCACTGCGAATATGAGCGAGGATGACCTGCAGTGGGCTGTTAAGTGTTGATGAAGAGGAAATAAAAGGGCATATAGCTTAGAACTAATAGATAGATCAGAAATAAATAAGCCATACGATCAACAACTACATAGTTACGTATGTTACAGTCTTACAATCCCACAATAACAAAATGTTATCCTACCTTGTGACAGTCCACTGTTGTCCGTTTTAGGCTCTATTACTTTTATAGTACCATCTTCAAGAAAGAAGAAAATATCCACCTTGCGAACGATGTGAGACGCTGAGCGCATCTCATGGAGACTTTGTTGGAAATATCCTTGAAACCGTAATATCTGACAAACACACAAAAAGTTAGTAAAACCCAAAATTTGAAAAAAAATACTAACGTTTTAAAAAAACCACTAAAGTTTTAAAAAAACACTAATGTTTAAAAAAAACACTAACGTTTTAAAAAAACCACTAACTCTATTTACAAATATTATAGCCTTTTATTTTAACCTGCATTTAACTTCCTTAGAGTGTTTTACATCACCCATAGTCACGAGGGTATAGTAACAGATGTTTTATCTCACGAAGGTGGGCGAGCCTTCATTGTAGCTGTGATATTTAGGCATGCGTGCTAGTATGCTAGTGTGCTTAACTGCATGTAGCATATGTCAACCCATCGTTATTAAAAAAAATATTATTGTTTTTAAAACAATGCATATGTGCATTATAAATTTCATTATTCACAGGGTTGTCGGATGAGTCGCATCCGGCATCCTGAGATAAAAATACTATACTGACCTTTTTAAAATCATATAAGTATACAACCCGTTCACATTCATTTTTTTAACAGTGGTAGAGCCACGCGGCGGCTTTTGCTGTCGCACGGATGGACCGGCTAGAACCAGGGTGGTACCACGACCTCACAGAATACCAACGTGAAGTAGAGGTTTACCTCTGCGTTTCGCTTGGTGAGTGCAGGTGGCCGGAGGCCTTTTTTACTGGAAATGAGGCATTCCATCTTAATCCTCACGGGTGACAACGCATCTGCATTTTGATTCGCAAACGAGGATAGATGTAGATGTCTATGGGCCGTAGCAACCACTTACCATCAGGTGGACTGTGTGCTCGTTTGTCACCCTTATCTTATAAAAAAAAACATTCAGAGATTTTAATTAACTATTTTTATTTATCGATGTTTTCAGTGATTTGCAACATTCATGGTCACAAACATAACTTTAAATAAATAAACCTTTACAAAAAAACCTTTGTACACAACAGTTTTTATTAGTTTATATTAATACTGGCTTACTTTTTACCCATCAGATAAAAGTCCATCAAATATAATAAAACCTGACTGTAAAAGTACAACAATTGATTTTTTTTATTCATACAACTGTAATTTAAATAAAACTACAATCTTTTTACGGATTTTATCGCGTTTATTAACTTATTTTATATTCCTGACGTTTCAAGCACTTTACAGCACCCATGGTTACGGGGCGACTGAGGTGTTCTACGTTCCATAGTTAACCACGGATACCTTCAGATTAAAATTGTTAATAAAAAATTGTGTAGTGTACGCATAAACATAAGAAATCATACAACTGTATTTTTTTATTTCTGTATATTGTATTTCATCCTACGAATCACTTTTATCTCATGATTGAAAACCAGCCCTAAGCGAGACAAGCGAACACTTAATCCACCTGATGAATAGCGGTGTGGATGTTGTGCTTCGACTCTTCATCATTGCTTTCATTATCCGTTACAGCCTATCAAAGTCCACTGCAGTAAATTGGCCTTCCCTATAGGGTCATGACCTCATAGAAGTGATATTTGCCATAGTTGCCATGCTTGGCAAGCGAGTTGGCAAGTGCAGTTTTATTTTTATTTTTGATCGTTATTAGGAAGACGCTGCTGCCCATCTTCTGATTTGTTCTGGTTTGTTTGTGATCAATGCTTACTATCGATTAATCATCAAAATGCAGATGTTTTAGAAGCAGTTACTTAGAAGCAATCCATCCAGGATTGCAGTTCTTCTCTTTCTCTCAATGACATGAAACTGCATCACGTTTCTGCTACAACCGTGGACCCTGCAATTCGTGCTCATACTATAGCTTATTTAGCTTCAATCCAATCTTCTCAACTTCAGTCTTTCATTTCCCACCAGTTCTTCAGATTGAGGTTAGAAAGGCTGTGCTGGCAATCAAATCCAGGACCGTGGGTTGTGATGAAATCTGATGAGAGAGATATGATACAACAACATCTTAGAGTATCTTCTGCCAGTTGTGACGCAGATTATTAATTTTCCTCTGGACTCTATTATATATCTGGACAATATTCACCCTTTGAATAAAGGCCTATGTGCGTTCTCTTTCCAAAGTTTCAAATCCCTTGCTCTCTAACCATTTTCCACACATCTAATCATATCTTTCTTTCCAAAGTTTTAAGGTCTGTGAATATAAGTAAACCTTCACTTTTATATCCAAAATTAACCTTAAACTTGTCAGTCTGGTTTTTTCTCCGGTCACAGCACTCCCACTGATTTATTCAAAGTTACTGAGGATATAAGAGTAATTATAGACCAATTTCTATGGCTACTGTAGTTTAAAGTCTTGGATGGGCTCCTTGACAGACATCTCAGTAGTCACACAACTCTACAAGATACACAGTTCGGTTTTCGAGAGAGACTCTCAACTGAGAGTGCGATACTAGCGTTAAAGCATACTGTAAGCTACTATGTTGATAGAAAAACTCCTATTTATGCTTGGTTTTTAGATCTGTCTAGGGCTTTTGACCTAGTATGTTATGATAAACTGTGGGCAAAGTTAAGAGAAGCAGGTGTCCATGAGGATCTTGTAAATATTCTTTCCTTTTGGCAAAACAACCATTCAAACTTTGTAAGATGGGGAAATATACATTCCGATGAATACCGGTTAGAGTGTGGAGTGAGGCAAGGTGGTTTAACGTCGCCTAGGCTCTTTAATATTTATGTCAATCAGTTGATAAAGGAGCTCTGCAGCATGCATGTAGGTTGTCACATAGACGACGTGGGTCTTAATAACCTTAGCTATGCTGACGACATGGTGCTGCTGAGCCCTTCAATTGGAGGCCTAAGAAAGTTACTAGGCACATGTGAGCGATATGCTGTTGAACATGGGTTGAGGTATAATGAAAAAAAAGAGTGTGTATATGATTATTAAAGGTAGAAATAAAACTCCAGATAATATACCATTATTAACTCTAAACAGAATACCCTTAAGTCGTGTAAAACAGTTTAAATATCTTGGTCACATAATTAATGAGAATTTGTGTGATAACCTAGATATAGAAAGAGAGCGCAGGGCATTGTCTGTGCGTGGTAATATGTTGGTTCATAGGTTTGCCCGCTGCACAGCACCAGTCAAAATTACTTTATTCAAAGCCTACTGCCAATCGTTTTACACGAGCAGTCTTTGGACCAATTTCACCCATAGAGCATACAATGTCCTGCGAATTCAATATAATAATATTTTCAGTTCAGTCTTCTTTCGTCTTCTTCGCTATTGCAGTGCATCAAGTATGTTTGCTGACGCAAATACGGATGATTTTTACGCAATTATGAGGAAAAAAGTGGAGTATCTTATACGACGCATGCGAGGGAGCCCGAACAGAGTCCTACAGATGATTAGCAACCGAGTGGATTCTAACCTGCTTGCAAGGTTTATTGAACTACATGTTTTATGAGTTCCAAAAGCTGACAAGACAGAAGTTTAGACTCTGTATAAGGTTTTGCATAGATTTCGTTCAGTTTTTACTAACCTAGAATGTAAGAAAAATTGTACCAATACTAACATATATGGACATGAGTCTGAAAATGAACGATTAATAATAATAATAATAATATAAAAAACGGAACGGTTACCAAAAAAGTAACAGTAATGGTGTTAGTAGACATTTTCAACGCTTTTAACACATTTGACCACGATATACTTCTTCTAGTACCCTGTCCCATCTTAAATTTGCTCCCTCGGTCTTGGGATGGTTTTTCTCTTATCTTTACGATCGACAGCAATCAGTGCACTTGCACAGGCATTAGACTTCCCAGGGACTAAATCGTGATTCTAGTGTATCGCAAGGCGGAATTCTATCTTCCATATTACTTTTGTTTCTTATAAACTACATAATAATACCCTCCGTTATTGATTGTTCGTACCATCTATCGACGATCTTCAAATACACGTGCAATCGAATAGCTATAATATGCAGAATGCTAAAACTGAAGTAAAGTTTAACTTGAAAGCCAATTTATTACTTGTCATTCCGTTTTGGCATTTCTTACCAAAAGCAATGCTTGTTGGCAGGTCAAGAATACTACATAATTTGATCCCGTTCTCTGACTGGGTAAAAACTTGGATATATATGGATAAACTGAACTGGGGAAAACAGGTCACTGATTTCAGCCCCAAAGTCACGGCTACCTTGAGATCGCTATACCGTCTGAAAAGCTTTCTAGCATAACTAAGCATATGCTAGTTAAAACAGTCGTCATACCTGTCATTGATTGTGCAGATGTTTGTTACCCTGCAATATCTCGAAATTTCGCATTCGACTCAAATGGTGAATCTGAGAAAGGCTCACTTCCAGAATATTGTCGGTTCTCTACTCCATTTTAAATTATTTATCTTTCCGTCCAGACAAATTTCAATACTTTTCCTTTGTGCCAACTTCGACAGAAAAGGTACTTCGCATCTCAACTTATCACATTTCACTGGCTTTATCGGCAATTATTTTACTGTTCAAGCTACTACACTACACTACTCTATAGCCCTTCACAAGTACACTGCTGAACATAGGCCTTCCCCAAGGAATACCACAAAGAACGGCCACCTGCATCCATCGACTCCCTGCATGTCTTAACTGGTTTTACTCCATCTAGTGGGGGGCCGCCCCACACTTCGGATACCGGTAGAAGGCTGCTACTCGAGAACCGTTTTTGCGGATATCCTCATTTCTAAGTCTATCACGCAGAGAAACCCCGAGTATCTTCATTGCTTGATGGGTGACCTTGAGCTTAAGCATACGGCCAGCAGTTATACATGTTCCAGACTGATGTAATTCAGCATCCCAACAGAGGTGACATTTTGCACCCGCATAGGTGCGCCGTTGCCTGCCGCTGTTTACATCCGTCTGGAACATGCTTTAAGCATGTTCGGTGCATGTAGTGCTCCTGTAGACTGTCCTGTAGACACATGATTTTTGTTTCGTCCATGTTTATTTTAAGACCTATCGGTTAGCAGACACTATTGAGGTCATTGAACATAGTGCTTAGGTCCTCCAGCGATAAGGACTATATCATCGGCAAATCGAAGGCGAGTGATTTACTCGCCATTGATGTTAATACTATATCCTATTTCCCGTCCAGTAACTTGAAAACTTCCGATACACCGGTCAAGAGTTTCGGGGATATAACGTCACTCTGTGTTACACCTCTCTGCAGTTTTTTAGTAGGTTTCGTACTCTGATTCTGTACTCGGATATCCATCGTAGCACTACTGTAAAAATACTTCAGCGCTTCGATATACCGACAGTGAACTTGGCATCGCTGAAGGGACTGAAGAGCCGCCCAAATTTCGAAGGAATCAAAGGCTTTCTATAGTCTACATACGCAAGACAAAGTGGCAGATTTTACTCTTTGGAACTACAATTTGCTGAAGGGTATGTATGTGGTATATGGTACTAAAGCATTTTCAGAAACCGACTAAGATTAAAATGTGGAGAATAAAATTTTAAAGGGCATCAATCACTACAATCACTCACAATCAATTGACTGATTTTCAATATGAAAGATGCCTAATAAATATGATTTATAACCCATCGTACGGTAGGTTAGTTAGTGAATAATATCTGTTCAATAACTAACCTACCACATTTGAATGTTAAATTATATTCATCAAAGCATTGTCACGACGATTAATTCTTGTTTTGTTAATTAGTTGTATATGTATTATTCTTAATATACTATAATTGTTTGTTAACACTCAAAACAAAACAAAAAAATTATTTGTTTCATACAAGATTTTCATATACAGCTTTCTTTTAAAGTTTAAGTATTGTAGAAAAAAATAAATAAACGTATAAAACTTTCCCTGTTGTACTTTATATTCACACTATGCTCTCAAAAGTCTCAAAGTAAGGAATTCCTTAACATATAATATAGGAATGAATAACACGTACATGCTTATCATACATGATCCAAGAGGGAAGTTCTGGTGTTTGCTTCCTAGAATAAAGAGAAGGAACGCGGTTGACATCTTCGGATTTATCGATTAACATATTTACATTATCAATAGTAGTGAAAATTGGCCGAACTCCGAAATTTTTCTTTCCGATCTGCAAATAAACTCATATTTTAAAAAGTATCTTATTTTGAATGAAACTAAAAAAACATTATATGATATATTACTTGCCAGTGGATTCATTCCATATCCGGGCAATAACGGTAATCTTGGATTTCGTATAGCCATTGTGCTAATTAACGAATATATTTTTAATAATATAGATTTAATTTAGTAAAAATAGGTAAAAAACTAAAATTATATAATATTTTTATGGTGGTTACACGGGTTTGTTACTAAAAATATTTCAGCAACAAAAATAACACGATTTACGCCAAGCCACCAAACATAGATTGTTTCTATAGCAACAGAAATACAGAAATAAAACGTAGTGACTTAGATTATTGATAGGTCTTCGCGCGCTCAGCGATGACCTATTAATAATCTAAGCGTAGTTATTATCTACTCTTTGTACAGGCATGTCAATATTATTAAACGCTGGCGACCCGCCCTAGCCAATTGAATATACGGACCATTTGTTTCAAAAATATTCCGAAGTTTTCTTGACAAATATAGCCTAGATCACTCCTGGCATTGCTTTCTATTTGTTCGTGAAGTTTCATTACAATCGGTTCAGCCATTCCGAGTATTAGCCCAGAGCCCAGACAGATCGGAAGACAGACGAAAGTTTAAAATATAATATTCTTGTCTCAATGGCATGCAGATTGCTCTCTCCCTCAGCCCAATAAAGGCAGTAATTTCGATATTACAGACAGATATAATTTTATTTATATGTATATAAGTAGATGTATAAATAATTAATGATTTTTTAAACTGAATTTCCAATCAAACTTACAGTGCACCTGCTGGTAAGTGGCTACTGCAACCCATAGACACCTACAACCAACTTTAAACAAGACAACAGATGTGTTGTCACTTTTGAGTATTAGAATGGAATACCTCACAGCCAGTAATTACACTGGCTCTCTATATTCTTCAGAACGAAATATGGTTTGGTTAAAATCTTCATTCATGAAGTTTATTTCTTAATACATTTAAGAATTTTTGTGGTGAATTTCATTATTTTTTAGGGTTCCGTACCTCAAAAGAAAAAAACGGAACACTTATAGGATCACTTTGTTGTCCGTCTGTCTGTCTGTCAAGACCCTTTTACTCAGGACCGCGTGGAGATATCAAGCTGAAATTCACATCAACTACTCAAGTCTACTGTCCCTTGGAGCTGTGAAAAAATCAAACTTCTAAGCTAACGCAATCAAAAGATACAGCCGTTTATGCCACAAATTTTCGATATTCTCAACGGAATCAAAACCTACAAGGTACTTCCCGTGAACTCAGAATCTTGAAATTTGGTACGAAGCAACGTTTTATAGCACAGATAAAGGAAAAACACGAAAAGCATAAATTTTTAGTTACGTCATCATCATCATCATCATTACAGCCCTTCACAAGTCCACTGCTGAACATAGGCCTCCCCCAAAGAATGCCACAAAGCACGGTCCTGAGCCACCTGCATCCATCGACTTCCTGCATGTCTTACCAGGTCGTCACTCCATCTCGTGGGGGGACGCCCTACACTTCGCCTACCGGTACGAGGTCGAGAAACTTTTTTCCCCATCGGTTGTCGGTTCTTCGAGCTATATGGCCGGCCCACTGCCACTTCAGCTTACTAATCCGTTGGGCTATGTCGGTTACTCTGGTTCTACTGCGGATATCCTCATTCCTAAGTTTATCACGCAGAGAAACTCCGAGCATAGCCCTCTCCATAGCTCGCTGAGCGACCTTGAGCTTCCTCATACGGCCAGCAGTGAAGGACCACGTCTCAGTTCCGTAAGTCATCACTGGCAACACGCACTGGTTGTACAATTTCGTTTTCAGGTTTTGAGGTATGTCTGACGAGAAGATGTGTCGTAGCTTCCCGAACGCTGCCCAGCCGAGTTGAATCCGTCGATTGACCTCTCGGTCGAAGTTGGACTTACCTAGTCGGACTATTTGTCCCAGGTAAACATACTCGTCCACAACTTCGAGCTTAGTGCTCCCAACAACTACCGGCATAGGTGTGACATGGACATTGAACATGATCTTTGTTTTGTCCATATTCATCTTAAGACCTATCCGTTGGGAAACACTATCGAGGTCATTGAGCATAGTGCTTAGGTCCTCCAGCGATTCTGCCATAAGGACTATATCGTTGGCAAATCGAAGGTGAGTGATGTACTCGCCATTGATGTTGATACCGTATCCTTTCCAGTCCAGAAGCTTGAAAACGTCTTCCAATGCAGCGGTGAAGAGTTTCGGGGATATGACGTCACCCTGTCTTACACCTCTCTGCAATTGGATAGGTTTCGTTCTCTGATTCTGTACTCGGATAGCCAGTTACGTCATATAATAAAAATATTTTTCATAATTTTAAACATATATACCTACGCATTTGTTCGGAACCCTCGGTGCGCGAGTCTGACTCGCACTTGGCCCATTTTTTTATCTAAAGAATAATCCGATAAAGTCCTTTGATTTTAATAATAATAATAACAGTTTACGATTTGTTTTATGCATTATAGATAATACTTATTGAAAGTCACTGTTTTGTATAATTACCACTGGTTCGAAAAAAAAACCTCTGTCCTGGGAAGAACCAGCAAGAAACCCAGCGGGACTTTTTTAAAAATAACAGCTTACAATCATGTATGTTACACAAATTAACAACACAACAAATTAGAAATAGCTTGGTAGCGATCACCTCATTTCCAGAGGTTATTATCATCTATAAATTCAGTAATATTATAATTACCCTTTTTATACAAACTTAGTTTAATGAAGTTTTTGAACTTTTAGCAGGTCAAATTTTGTATATTTTCCGGAATTTTGTTGTAAAAGCGTATACATCGCCCCAAGAATGAATTACTGACTCGATGGAGTCGAATAACTGGTGCTACTAGCTTGTGTCTGTTCCTAGTATTTACAAAATGAATATCACTTATTTTTGTAAAACTACTTTTATTTTTGTGTACGTAGCATAGTCCCGTAGCAGTAGTTTGTCCCCATAGCAAAATACTATACGACATTATGCTATGGAAATAGCTAAAGTAAACTAGTCTAGCTGTTTCAACACTAGTTAGACTTCTAATCTTTTTTACGGCATATGCTGCAGAACTGCTTGCTGCTAGTTTTGATATATGGGGGCTCCATTGAAGCTTTGCGTCTAGTGTGATTCCAAGAAAAATGGTGGTATCTACAAGACTCAGTTTCTCGCCATTTAAAATGACATTAGTATTTAATTGTTTGACATTTGGAGTCATAAATTTCATACATTTCGTTTTAGTGTCATTTAAATGCAAATTATTAACATTGAACCAATTTTCTAATTTAGATATAGCATTATTTACTTCGTCATATTTTAGCCGTTTAAATTATCGACTTAATTTGAAAATTAAAGAAGTGTCATCTGCAAATAATACTATATCATGGTTATCTCCTACTATGTAAGGTAAGTCATTAATGTATACAAGAAACAGAAAGGGGCCGAGAATTGAGCCTTGAGGCACGCCCATTTGTACCATCGACCCGGAAGAACTCATACTGTTAATGACAACTTTTTGCGTTCTCTTACTTAAATATGAAATAATTAATTTAAGAGCATCACTTCTTACACCGTAGTGTTGAAGTTTTCTGATTAATGTTTCATGGTGAACACAATCGAAGGCTTTGGATAGGTCACAAAATATACTCAAAGCATCCTATGAATTCTCCCATGCATTAAATATATATTTAATCAGCTCAACACCGGCACCAGTTGTCGAGCGACCCCTTGTGAAACCAAATTGATTTTTATGAAGTAAATTATTCATATTAAAGAAATTTAACATTTGATCAAGAATAATTTTTTCAAAAATCTTAATAAGTGTTGGTAGTACAGAAATAGGTCTAAAATTGGCGGGGTCTAATGTACTACCAGATTTAAATAAAGGTATTACTTTACTATACTTCATTAAATCAGGAAACACACCAGATTCGATACTAGTATTAAAAATAATAGCTAAATGAGACGCGATGTTATCTATTATAGACGCAATAACTTTAACGGATATCCCCCACAGATCCGCAGTTTTCTTAACATCAATAGTTTTAAAATATTTTACAATATCTTTTGATGATACTTTATGAAATGCAAAATTCTTTGTACACGCATTTACATTTTGTTTAAGTAATGATTCGGCGACCGCAGGAGAAGAATTCAGTGACTTAGTGGTTAATATCGGAATATCAGTAAAATATTTCTCAAAAACAATTGCAACGTCCTGATCTGATTCGGTTAATTTGTTACTAACACTTGTAACTAACGAGAGTTGATCTTACCAGTTTCGCTATTAATTATACTCCATGTCATTTTAATTTTATTAGAAGCCGTCTTAATTTTGTTGCTCAAATGCAAAGACTTGGCTGTGGAGCACACTCTTTTAAATATTTTTGAATATATTTTTATTATTTATATATTTTCACATATTCCCTAAATTCGACGCTATGATTATATGACCTTTCATGGTAAAGATCATATAACCTATGTCTGCTCTTATGGACTCCTACTGCCGCCTATTCATTAAATGACTTCCGACTGTTCAAGAAGAATGTTTTAGAAGTAAAAGTATTATTAAATTCATTGCAAATAAGCTTAAATAATGTTCCATACAAAAAATTTGGATCATTTTGGTATGAAAGTGATGGAAGTTTTTTCACTATTTTACTTCTAAATTTCTCCAAGCGAAGTGCATTTACTGGAACAAACACAACTTTCTCATCTACTTGCTTTTTTGTGAACGTAAGGTAACGAAACTACCTGTGTTATCTATACATGTTGCACTAAATTGAGGAATACGCGTTGGCTGTAAAAATAAATTAAAAAGACCATATGAGTTAAACAATGATCTAAATTTAATATTGATTGAGGAAGCTTCTAGGAGATTGATATTAAAGTCTCCACATATTACAACAGATTTATTCTGTTTATTAAGCTTAGCAAAAACTTCTTCCATATTTTTTTCAAAAGTATCGTATATAGAACATGGGGGTCTGTAGACGCTCACAACAATGAGGTGCTCAAACTCAACACATGCCATTTCTACAGTTGGCTCAACAGAGAGGCTCACAATATCATTACGTTCTTTACATGACAATAATTTACTAGCTAATATTAATTACTCATTTGTACCTTTGGTATACTTAGGTGGACTCAAACTGAACTTAACGCCAGGATAGAAACTTCCACACCTACTATGACGTCCCATAGGATGCATCACCCGAGATCGTCGATTACGTGGCTGTACTTGCCGCAGAAACATGGTGAGCACGGCTTTTTGAGCGGCTCACCATGCACAATCGCGAAGTATGCAGCCTCCGTAAGTACCTTCTTGAGAGATTTGATGATCCATTCTATACGGACGTCATTTCTTATGATAAAGGCCTTAACACTCTATCCTTAGCCAATGACAAGACCCGGCAGTACAAAACATCTCCGACCAGGAGACCGTGTGAAAGGAACTCCATGGGAGGTTCTACAAGGCTCTACATGAGCCTTTCGTAAATACGGCTACCTCCCTTCACTGACTACGGTTCGGTGATCTCTTTGGGGAAACCGAGGGTATTGTCTGTGTGATACAGGATCAGGTTATTAAGACCAACAACTATCGGAGGTACATTCTAAAGGAAAGCGCCGTCGACATCTGTCAAGCTTGTCGACATCCTGCTGAGTCACTTAGGCATGTCAAGCGCCAGGCGCTACTGGAGACCGAGCCATCATCACAGACAGGACTATTCTTGCGAATAAGCCTGAAATTGTGATGATGACCAGGCACAGTTAAGGATATTTTTAGTCGACATTACCATTCCGTATGACGAGAACCTCGTGAAAGCCGAAACAGATAAGCAAACTAAATATTTATTAATAACGGGTCATCTGAGGCGACTAGGACTCCGTGACGGACCGCCCCAAGACCAAATGCAGAAGGCGGCGTTCCTCGATACCGCCCGCATCGTCCGCCGATTTCCTTCCATTTCTCCCTAACCCGCGGCTGTTCTCCCCTGCCGAGGGCTTCCATATGGTTGGCTTTATATAAATTTTTTATTCATTTATTTTGTGTATTAATATATATTTATGTTTATTTATTATTTTCATTTACATATTTATACAACCCAACCAGATGAGAAAAGTGTATAAGTAAATACCCCAAAATATATGATATATCCCAAACCAGGTGATATCGCGCGCTCAAAATGGATGTCAGGGCGGTGGTCGTGGAACCAAGGATCCACTCTTCATTGACGTAGTCATTGGCAGGGTGGATAAACACAACCGTCGGAACTCTTCCGCCGCTTGGATAGACTATAGGAAACATTCGACTCAGTGCCTCATACAAGGCTAAAGAAGGTAAGAGACTTCCTCGGGCAGTTATGGGGCAGTGGAGTACGATCCTTTGTCATCTAGGCGAGCGCATAACGCCTACGGAGAACCGTATAAGGATAAGAAAGGTTATATTCCAGGTCGATTGATTCCAATCTTGTTCTACCTCTCCCAGATCTCTCTCATTACCTTATTGGAAGGCTCTGGGAGGGGATTTCAGCTTCGAAAGGGAGGGACAAAAATGACCCAATATTTCTACATGGATGATCTTAAGTTGAATAAGCCTCCAGTCGCTGCTATCTTATGGAATTGCTAAACATCACAACCACAACACAACAAAATCAAAAACTGAACAAACTAGCAAGTTATTAGTTTTATTAAGGTAATGTCACCAGTAATGGACTATACCCCAGTAATGGACACACGCTTAGAAAAATGAAAAAAATAAGAATAATTTAACATATTTTCATAATGGTAACATTGAACTATAAACTAATTATGTCAAGCTGTCAACTGTCGCGATTTCGATTTATTCTGACATTTCGTTGCAAAATTGTCACAGATTAAATAGCACTGTGCAGAGTGATTTCCCAATTTGATTATTTCTAACGGAATTCATTAGTGAGGTGAGTAGATATTTTGAGATATTTCTGGAAAATCTTTAGAATAATTCATTACTATATTGGATAGTTTATTTCATAGAAATATTGTAGGTACGAAATTAACCTAAAACTATTTAAAGGTGCTTGTATATTTTGTTAAATGTGAATGTTCATAACTGGATATCGATTTTCAACTAGAACTAGTTATGGACAAAATGTCCATGATTGAGTATCTATGTTTTTATAGCAATTGCCTTCGTTTTATGTTTGTTGTACCGTCTTTTGGTACTGTTACGTGGACGCAATCCAGTCATGGACATGGATGTCCAACATTGGTTGTTCATTAATGGTTTTCAAATAAAATTCTAATTTTGTTGTTTTCGTTACTAGCCATGCTGCCCAAAAAACATTATACGCCAGAACAAATGCGTCAAGAGAGAAGAAGCAGTGAGTGCAGCAGCATCTAAATATGGTGTACCTTGTATCACGCTTAGAAATAAGGTAACGGGGATAAGCCCTGCCGTTTGTTCAATGGGCCCAGCAACGATTCTTACGGTTCAAGAAGAGCAGATATTAGTACAATGGATTTTTGTACTAGCAGATCGACATTTTCCTATTTCACAGAATCGGAAATTCTATTAAATGAGATGCCGCCATTCTCTGGAGCACTTGAAGAGCTTTCTGTGGAAATGCCGAGCGATGACAATTCTCCTATCACGATCTTTACTGTTAAATTACAAAATGCTACACACTCTACGACAAACGTCGACTCGGAATTGCATATAAATAGTGACCAATTCAATAAAACAATACCAGCTACATCTAAGGCAGAGTCAGAAAAAGATTATGATATTATTATGGAATCAGAACAACCTGATTTGACCACAAATGTTGACTCGAATAAGGACTCTATACCAGGTGATTTATTAGTTGTTGAGCCCCCTTGTCCCCATCCTAGACCTATCACTCACTGTTCCGAACCAGAAATCCAACATTGTACACCCACAAAAAGTACATTAAGCGGTGTATTGGGTGTTAGTACCGTCCCCTTTTAAAAAAAAGTCTTTTTTGGCCCGTAATTGAAAACAAGAAAAAAAAAGAAAAGTTACCAACGGCCATTACAAGTAAGGCGTGGAAGGTGTACCATGAAAAGAAAGACGTAGACTACAAGATGAAAAAGAAAGCAGAGCCAAGGTGAGAGCAGAAAAAAAAGTTTCAAAAGAAAAAATCTTGGAAGAAAATAAGAATAAGAATAGGAAAAATGAAAAAGGTACAGAAGTCTTCATCTTCAGACGACACCGACTTAGAAATTGATTACGCTGAAAGTGGTGACAACGATTGGAATGAAGATAGTGATTCAATTGTAGAGAATACGGAAGGCGAAAATAAAGTGGTGACTGGAAAACGAAGACTGCAACTTGCTTTTCATAAAAGGTCACAAAAAGAGTGAAAGACCTCTTTCGTACTCTGGATCGGATCTTGAAAATATGCCTTTAAGTTCACTGGCGTCTTCTAGCAGTAAAGTTTCTGTTAAAGATTTAAAAACAGGTTGTTATGTAATAGTTACATATGAAAGTGAATATTTTCCGCGTAAAATTGAAGAGAAGAATACAGGGATGTACGAAATTAGTACAATGGTACTATCAACTGGGAACACTTTCAGATAGCCGGACAAAGCGGATAAAATCTGGTATAAAATGACATTATTGAAATAATTAGATCTCCTATAAAACAAAATAATAGAGGATTCTTTAAAGTTCAGAGATGAATAAATTTTTACCTGATATATTCATGACAAAGATTTGAGATATACACGAGAGACATAAAGGTTTAATGATTATTAGGAGGTGCGTCTACCATTTATTAGATACTTATGTCGCTTATTATGTGTAATTTAACTAACTTAAGTAAGCTATCTGTATATGTAATTTTATTGTTTTCGTCTTTTAAAGTTTTATATCTATGATTACTAAAATTATTGTTGTTGTTTGTTTAAACCACCACTGACTGATTTCGATGGTATGAAGATATATTGTAAGAGCACTTACTAATGTTTAGTAGTTCTAATTTGTGCATTTTATTTCTGCTTGTACCAATATCTTTCCTCAAAGTTTAATACTTACTAGTCTTATCATTTGTATTGAACAAGTCAAAGTAAGTAAGGCAAACATAGCCTAGTGATTTAAAGAAACAGTTTACCTTTATTATTGTTATTATTTGTTGTCTCTGTGTTCATTACTAGAAGTTCATTACTGGAGATTGTCCATTAATGGGTGTCCATAATTAAATTTTGCCTGTCCATCACTAGTGATTAGGAATGACTTTGATTTAACTTTTTTTTAAAACATATATAACCTGGTATTATATTTTTCTTTATTAAAAATATTTGCCAAGATACTATTCTTTTACTTTATCATATCGAAATATCTAATTTCATTAAAAGTGGTTGTCAGTGTTATATTATCTGAAAATGTTTTCTAAAACTGTCCATAACTGGTTCCATTACCTTATATCTTTTCAAAATAGTGTCCATTTACATCAATACATCGTTGCATCCGATGTAACCACTGAGAAAAGCACATTGCCCACTCGTCCTTAGGGGACTCTTCGACGATATTTTGAAACGCAGCCACTGCTTCCTTGGCGTCCAAAAAATGGTTTGCTCGAAGTTTTTCTTTTATTTTCGGAAATAAATAAAAATCGCAAGGTGCGAGATCGGGGCTATAGGGCGGGTGACCCAGTAATTTCACGTCTGACGTCGCCAAGTAGTCGATTGTTTGCTTAGCGGTGTGCGAAGAGGCGTTGTCGTGGTGAAGGAGGATCCTACTGAATTATGATATTAATAATTGAATAAAATATCAACACGTTTGTTCAACTCGAGTATTTATTTAATACTGGCTTACTTTCTAATACATCGAATATCACCTATAAGTACATAGGTTACTTCACCTTTGGGGGCAAAGGAAAAAAAAAGAGAAAAAAAAAAGAATATTCTTAACTACTAAATTGCTTAGTCCTATTCTTATGAACAATGTCAATTTTACCATTTATATCAATTTTCACATTTACTCCTAAATCTTCTACAACTTTATAAGGTCCATCAAAAACACAATCTAATTTACGAGCACATTCGTTTTTAAGTAAAACAAGATCATTCTTATTATAATATACAGGATTACATGATTCATCATATTTATTTTTCCTTTTTTCCTTACAAGTTATGAAATTATTTCTAGCATCTTTTAAGGCTACTTGCAATTTATATTTTAAATCTAAACAATAATTATCAGGATTATAAAGTGGTTCAACATCATAATTCAAATTATTTGGCAAACGACATTATCTACCAAAAACAAGTTCAAAAGGAGTGTACTTAGTTTGAGTGTTCACACAATTATTATAACTAAAACACCAAAATGGAACCCAATGGGACCATGAAAAATTCGAATTAGTACAATAAGTTCTTAGAAACGCACCTAAATGTTTATGAGCTATCTCAAGAGAACCAATTGATTGGTGGTGGTATGCAGTTGACGATAACTTATCGATTTCTAATAACTTACATACCTGTTCCATAACCTGAGACATGAATTCTGTCCCCCTATCTGTAGCTATACATTTCGGAATACCGAATCTTAAAATAAAGTTACTTACAAAAGCTTCTGCAACTGTAACAGCTTCTTTATTAGGCAATGGATACGCCTCTATATATTTTGTTAACTCGCATTGGAGAGTTAAATATAACAATTTCCATTCTCATCCCTATCCAATGGTCCAACTAAATCGAGGAAAACCTTCTCGAACGTAGTCGACGCAGTGGAAGTTAAAGTCATAGGTTGTTTGGTATATTTACCTTGTTTCATTTTCTGACATAATGCGCATTTACTTATATATTTACGGATATCCGAATCTAGTCCTGGCCAATAGTATTTTCTCCTAATATTATTCGTCATTCTAGTTATTCCAGCATGTCCACTAGTGGGTAATAAATGATAGTCATTTAAAATAAATTGTTTCTCGTTCTCATCATAAATTCTCTCTATTCCTTTCAGTACACATATTCGGGGTCCGGACCATTCACTCAAAGATTTAACTTCACTACATATTCCTTTTATAAACTCAGTATTCTTTTCATCTTTTACTATACATAATTCTTTTACTTTTATTTTTTCGCAAAACTCTTTAGGTTATTTGCAAATTCGGTTCGCGAGAAATGCAGCTTAAAACCTAAATTAACACACAATAACATTTTATTTGATACATACACAAAACATTCTTCTTCTATCACTTTATTATTTCCTTTCTTAAATTTTTCTATTACTTCCCTGTCAGTCAACCTCAATTCTACGGAATCACATGGCTGTCTTAATAGTTCCACGACGCGTGGTTGATCAGGCCACTCATCAGGGTACTTATTAAGCGCAGTCTGTTCTACCGTATTATTTTGCTCCATCTCTTTCTTTTGTTGTCTCGTTACAACTGCCAAAACCTCCTCATTCATACATTTCAGTTCACTTGATGTTATACACACTCTGGATAATGCATCTGCGATTACATTATTCTTACCCTTCACATACACAATCTTTAAATCGTACTCTTCAAGAATTAAACGATATTTAATTAACCTACTAGATTGATCCTTCATTCCCAAAGGTTTGTGGTCAGTCATGATAGTAAAAGTTCTGCCAAATAAATAGGGTCTAAAATATTTAACGGCCCACACTATTGCTGTTAATTCTTTTACTATTACGGGATAGTTCTTTTCAGCTTTATTTAACGGTCTACTAGCATAAGCTATAGGTTTTCTATTTTTATTACACAGCACAGCTCCTACAGCCAAGTCTGAGGCGTCTGTTTGCAGTACAAATTCATTAGATTCACCAAAGTCTGGGTATTCCAATATTGGTGGAGAATTTAAAGCGTTTTTTAAGAAATTAAATGCATTTTGGCAATCTGAATTCCAAATGAAAGGTACATCCCTTTTTAGTAAATTATTTAAAGGCATTGTTATGGTAGCAAATGAAGGTACAAATTTTCTATAGTAATTGCAAAAAGCAACAAAGCTTCTTACTATATCGGCATTCTGAGGAACTGGAAACTTATCTAGAACTTTAGTTTTTTTCTGGGTCAGGTGCTATACCATCAGCGGTTACTACATGACCAAGATATAAAATTTTCTTTTTACGAAATTGACACTTAGCGGGATTTAGTTTTAAATTTACCTTCCTCAATCTTTCAAAAACGTCTATCAAATTTGTTATGAGTAGCTAAAGACCTTCCAAACGTAATAAGGTCATCTAAATAAATGAAACACTTCTCAAACGCTAGTCCTGACATTGCTATTGACATGACCCTACTGAAAGCACTACAGGAAGTTTTAAGACCCATCGGTAAACGTTTTAATTGGTAATATCCTGTACTAGTTGAAAAAGCTGTGTATTTTCTGCTTTCAGGTGCTAATTTTACTTGGTAGTATGCTTGTTGTAAATCTAGATGAGTAAAGTAAATTGAACCAGATAGTGAGTCTAAGATGTCTGTTATGTTGGGTAACGGAAATTTATCATCTACAATGTTTTCATTTAATTTACGGAAATCGATTACTAAACGCCATTTCTGTGAGCTTTCAGACTTTTTAGGTAATAATAGTATAGGACTTGACCCTTCGCTAGAAGATTCCTCGATAATGTCGTCATCGAGCATCTTTGTTATTTGTATATATTGTTTTCTATATATTGGATTAGTTTTATTTTTTAATGTAATGGTATGTTCGCAAATATTAGTAGTTTCTAATTTGTCACCTCGTAAGAAGAAAATACCAGAATATTTAAAACAAATGGTTTCAATAGATTCTTTCTCTTCATTGTTTAAATGATTAAGTTCTAATAAAGGTAACAAAAATTTAGGCCCTATTGGAGCTACTTTTACATTGACCAAATTTAAAAATGTTATACTCTCTCAAAGGTTCCACATCTAAAGTAAAATTGTTTAATCTTATTTCCTCATCTCTAGTATTTAAAATCTTAATTGGAACGCGTTTATTTTTCGGTTGAACAATAGTTCCTGCCAAAAATACATCCTTTTCTATCTCTCTCGCGCACACAAAACAATCCTCTTCTACTTTCTTATTCAAATACACATAATGTATAGACTCACTTCGAGGTGCGAGTACTACGAGTTGCTATAATCAGGTTTATCGAAAATCGGTAAAATACAATGCTTACCATCAATTTGCAGCATCAGCAAATTATTTTCTAAATCTATTTTAGCCTTATATCTAGTCATAAAATCTAATCCTAATATTCCATCAACGGCGATAGGTAAATTCTTGAAACTATAAAACTTGCTCGTAAATTTATCATATTTAGAACTGTAAATTCCATTTACTACTAAGTTATTGTAAAATATTTCACTCGACTTAGGAATTTGTTCTTCCTTAATTACCGAAATAGATGCATTCTTAACATAAAAATTTACCAATTTAGTGTTACCTCTACAAGCAAAAACTAAGTTATTAAGTCCGAAAAAGCTGGTTACTCTCTCTCTCATCAGCTGGGTGTTCTACGTTATCAGCAGTTCGTACTGGCCTATCATTTTGTAACGCTAATATTCTATTGTTAAAATTACCTTTCTTATTGTTGTATCCTCTTCTGTTGTTGTAGAACATGTTTTGTCCTCTACCTCGCGGCGTATACTGGAATCTATTACCTTGATATCTATTAAAATTGTTATTATAATTTTGGAAGTTAGTACCTCTGTTGTTGTAATTGTTGTGGTAATTTGTCTGGTACCCTCGACCTCTGGTTTGGAATCTAAAAGAACGATTATTGTATCTACCTCGACCTCTAGGAAAAGATGAAATTTTCATTACCTCTGCCTGAGTAGATGACGATGGAGTGGATTCATCCTTGGCCGCTTGAATGGCTTCTTTTAGCGATGTGTAATTTCTAGCAGCTATAATCGTACTTAACTTTTCATTTTTAAGTCCATCTGTAAATTTTTTAATCACCATTTTTTCATTAATTGGTTCAGAACTGTACTTTTAGTAACGTCACCCTCAGCCTGTGAAATATTCAAATCGGTTAATAGTGTTTCAAGTTGAGATCTGTATTGTTCAATAGTCCTATAGCCCTGATTCAGATACTGTATCTGATTATGTATTGCAGTGAAAGATGTTTTTGTCAATAACTTATTACGAAAATCTTGAATCATCAAGTCTACTGAAGTATAAGAATTGGATACGCGCAACTTAGCATTTTCTGATAGCCTGCCCTTGAGAACAAATTTAATTAAAAGTTGCTGGCCTTCACTACTAAGCATGTCTGCATACATTTCCACAGCATCAATCAATCGTTTCGTAGTATCTTCCCTATCATCTGAAAGAGGTATCAAGC